CCACCCACCCACCCACCTACCAGTGGTGGGATTCAGCCAATTTGCACCCCTTCGGGAGAACTGGTTGTTAAGTTTCTAGCAGTTAGTGAACTGGTTGTTGGAAGATATCATAAGGGCAGAGAACCGGTTCTTAAATTATTCGAATCCCACCATTGCTACCTACCTACCTACCTACCTACCTACCTACCTACCTACCTACCTACCTACCTACCTACCTACCTACAATAAACAGCCTTTTATAGATCCTAAACCAGGTGTTGAAAGCCTTTGTATTTCTTCTAGTTCCATTTTCATTTGATACATATTTGTCAATTTTCTTCATAACTGAAGGGAAATATATGTGTCCCAGGATAATGTTGCCGGATCCCATCTGGGTTGGTCACCACGTTTCATCTTCCAAGGTTTCAGACTTGTGGTGGTGCCCATTTTCAAGGAACTTCTCTCTACCACAATGTGTCTTTTGGGCTATTTTATGCATAGTATTTATGTGGTGCCTGGTTGGATATCCCTTGGATATGCCTTCTTATTGGCCAGTTATTAAGTTGTTGCCTGTTGTTTCCTTGTGCTGCCAAGTCCCTGGCTCCTAAATACTCGATAAGCTGGTGGTAAATCAGCACTCCTGTTGACTGATAAGGGGCCCCGTTTCTCAGGCTTCAATCATTTCCCTGGCTATCTTTGTATCTGCTCAGCCAACAAGCTTTGAAATTGAATGTATGTCCTTGTTCATTGCAATTTGAGGCTTCCAATGAGTTCAGATCTCTTCATCTGATCGCTTGTTTGTGTTTTTGCAATCTGGTGTTAGCTTCCTCATTGTCTGTCCAACATAATCACAGGCAATCCATATGTGTTGGAAATGATAGCTTCCTTCATACGCAATTGCTGCAGTGCAACTGGGTTATTATATTGATGATCCAGCTATTGTGATTAATAAATAATCAAGCAATGAATAAAAGATAATCTAGCAATGAAACTGCAAACACTTAGAGGCAAATAAAGACATAACCATAAGCCAACATGGGTTTGTCAAAAACAGATCATGCCAAACATATCTTTTCATTATTTGACAAAGTGACTAAATTAGTGGATTAGCAAAATACTGTGGATATAATTTACTTGGACTTCAGTAAGGCATTTCATAAATTAGACCACAACCTACTACTTGATAAGATAGAAGTAGGTAGTTTAGATAGCATCACCACCAGATGGATTTGTAACTGGTTGACCAACCACACTCAATGTGTAGTCCTTAATGGAAATGCATCTACATGGAGGTAAGTATGTTGTAGAGTACCCCAAGGCTCTGTCTTAGGTCCAATTTTTCTCAATATCTGCACCAATGATTTAGATGAGGGGATAGAAGGGGAACTCATCAAATTTGCAGATAACACCATGCTGGGAGGAATGACCAACACTCCAGAAGAAAGGCTCAAGATACAGACTTGAGCACTGGGCTTTATCTAACAATAAAATTTAATGGTGAGAAAAGTAAGGTTCTACATTTAGGCAAGAAAAAAGAAATGCACAGGTATAGAATAGGTGGCACGTGATTCAATTCTAGTAACTGTGAGAGGAATCTTGTAGTGGACAATCACTTTAATATAAGCCAGCAGTGTGTTGCAGCTACCAAAAAAGCCAACATGCTCCTAGGCTGCATTAGCAGAGGGACAGAGTCAAGATCACATGAAGTATTAATATCACTTTATAATAATTCGGTAAGACCACACTTGGAATATTGCATCCAGTTTTGATTGCCACAATATAAAAAAAAAGATGTGGAGACTCCAGAAAGATGGAGAGAAGAGCAACAAAGATGATTAGGGGATTGGAAGCTAAAACATATGAAGAACAATTGGAGGAATCACGTATGTCTATTTTAATGAAAAGAAGGACTAGGAGTGACATGATAGCAGTTTTCCAATATCTAAAGGGCTGCCACAAAAAAGAGGGAGCCGTTCTCCAAAGCACGTGAAGGCAGGAGAAGAAGCAATAGGTAGAAACTAATCAAGGAGAGAAGTATCTTAGAAGTAAGAAATTTCCTGACAGTTAGAACAATTAATCAATGGAATGACTTGCTTCCAGAATTTGTGGGTTCTTCATCATTGGAGGGTTTTAAGAAAAGATTGAACAACCTTTTGTCTGGAATGATATAAGGTTTCCTGTTGAGTAGGAGTTTGGACTAGAAGACCTCCAAAGTCCCTTCCAACTCTGTTATTCTGTTATTCTGATTAAATGATCCCAGCTTTTGTTCGTATATCATCACCATTGCCATGATCCTTAATTAACCTATAGACGTGCATTTAGTTCTCCACTGATAAACAAGAAAATTGAATTTTGGATTTCCATTGTGCCTTTATAAAATTTATTAGGGAGGTGCTCCTTCCTTCCCTTGTCTTTTATAGTTAGCAGAAATCAACACATTTAAAATAATGTGAGAGGTAACATGCATTTGGTTTAATGGCCTGACTGAATTAGTTTCTTAATTAAGTTTTCTGGAGAGAGTTCAGACTGCATTCTCCAAAAGTCAAACAGACAAAATTTTCAATATAAAAATATTCCACAGGGGGCACAGAGAAAATTGGCTGAAAGATCAATGATTCAGAAGTCAGAAAGGTTACCATACTATAATGGCACCAAACAAAAATGTCAGAAATGAATGTTTTTTAAACAGTTTTCCCTTATTCAAATTACATATTCTTTAGATTCATCTTAGTTTTTTTAACAAACTATGGACTCTACTGCCTGCAAAAACCAACTCCTCACAACCCCAAGTCTTAGAAGTTTGATATCTGTAATAATGTGCAATTGGGGATTTAGAACTATTTTCTATGTTAGTCTTAAATTGCTTTTCTCCTTCATCTTTTATATTGCTGATTCCTAGTAGAATCTTTTCTAGTGGGAAATCAACAAACATCAGTCAAATTTGCTATCTTTTATGTTTGAAAAAATAGTAGTTCCTCTAGACAGACCTGAAGAAGCTTCTTGGATGAGAAGCAAAATGTCTTCCCAGAAAAACAAAAAGGCCATTTGCCTCTTTAAAAAAAACAAACCTCTGGGATAACCATGACCTGGGTGACTGAGAATCTCAATAGGCATTTAGTTCCTCTATAAGCCTCGCAATATTAGATTACCATTTTTTAAAAGAGTGGTTCTCTTTAAGGATGACTCTGAGATAGAATAGCACAGTATCACTAGCAAAAATGTAGTATCCTGAAGACTATTATACTGAATATCAACTTCCAAACCAAATTATGAATTCTTTAAAAAATGGATTTATTAAGGGTACACCTCCTTTCTTTCTCTGCCCACCTGAATGAGTGAAGGAGACACTGGTCACTAACCGCCTGCCTGCCTATGTACAAACCAGGCCGCCTCCTCTCTCCCCACGCTGGCTCTCTGAAGGATGAGGGAAGGTCTCTCCCAAGACCTGCTTCCCTTACCTCACGGTGCAGTTCCTGGATGCTGGGATATTCTTTCTTTTGCTGGTAAGTGGGCATGGCCAGGCTGCTACTGGTCGGGTCCAGTATGCCAGATTTTCACTATCTCTTCTGGCGTACTGGACCGTACCGGGAAGAACCCCTGCAGTGGAAACCTTAGTATTAAGTTCAAAGACATAAACTTTTTTTAAAATTAGAAAATAATTCAAAGCCATCTGCAGCCTATCATTGTCATTCTAAACATCAGCTCTACTTTATAAGCAACTCTATGTTCATTGTTATTTTAGAAATAATATTTAACATTGATATGAATTTTCTATTTTGAAAGGCTTCATTTACTTTCATCGTTATAGACATAATAGCTTTCAGTTTCTATTGCATAGAGCCCACTGTACTTAGTTTTTAATCTGTATTCTAAAATGTATTATTACTATTCTATAACACAATTTGGAAGAATGTGTGGGTTGTATAGATAGCATTAGAACTTCACAGACACAAGAAGATATTTTTCTTCAGGAATAAACAGTACACTCATTCTGTATCAGGTTTTGCTTAGAAAATCTGACTTTCTAAACTGCTTCATCTCACGATAACAGTTTTCCGTTTCCCAAGACATACACTTCAAAATCCACAGAATTTTCTGGGAGAAAATTCTGGGAACTAAAGATCTTATTTTCTAGGATGTACATTAAGTTATTTTTACCGGCTTGCACCGGTTTGGGTGAATCGATAGTGGTGATTTGGCCTGGGTCGCAGCAGTGATCCAGGCTAGCCATGCCCCCGAACCAGTTCCCTGGTCTCTTTTGCCATTGCCGGCATGTTTCTGCGCATGTGCAGAACAATTTTCAGTCAACTGTGCATGTGTGTGCAATGCATGGCGTGCGTACGTGGAGTGAACCGGTACTAACCAGTACAGGAACCCACCCCTGCATAAGATAAACATTTACAAAGGGCATTTTACAAATGCACAGAGATGAAGAGATACCACTACTAACTCTTCCTCCTTTTATTGGCAGATATCAGTCTCACCTTTTCTATCCCCCACTCTATCTTGAACTTCACTTGCCTATTATAAAAATCCTATTTGATATAGGATTTTGTGCAGCTGGAAAAGAGTCAAGAATAATTTGCAATGGCTGAATATTTTAATGTGTTCATTGAAACTCATCTGTGCTGTGTGGGAGGGAGGTTGCAAGAAATTCAGTTCCCTCCTGTTAATGAAAGTGCTACAATTTCCCTTCAGAATGAAAATGGGGAGAGGGGATGTGTTTGGATTAAGGGCTCCATATCACTGCATTGTCATTCATAAAATGGGAACATCCCATTTCCCAGAAGTGCTTTGAGAGTAATTATTTAAAATCAAGAAAGCCCCACGGGAAACAGAGAG